CCTGTCCCCCCTGCCCACACCATGTCAGTGTGTCCCCATGACCCCCCTGCCCATGCCATGTCCCCCATTGCCCACGCCGTGTCCACGTGTCCCAGTGTCCCCACATTCCCGTATCCCCCATTACCCACGCCGTATCCCCATGTCTCCGTGTCCCCCCTGCCCACACCGTGTCCGCTTGTCCCCCATTGCTCATGCTGTCTCTCCGTGTCCCCGTGTCCCCGTGTCCCCACCATGTCCGCATGTCCCCCATTGCCCACGCTGTCTCCCCGTGCCCCGGTGCCCCCCGTACTTACGCCCTCCGCAGTGCCGCCCTCCGCGCCACTCCGCGGCGCCCTCGGCCCAGCAGCTCCGGGCGCGCGGCGCCAAGTCGCCGCCGGCCTTGGGGAAGGCGCCCGCCTGGGGCCCGTAGTAGACGCCCTGGGCTCCGAGGCCGCCGAAGGCTCCCGGGTGCGCGTACGGAGGCAGGAGGCCGCCGGGCGCCGCGGCGGCCGCCGGGCGCCCCAGGATGTCGGAGATGCCGTGCGGCGTGCCGGCGGGCAGCGCAGGCGCCGCCAGCTTGTAGAAGGAGCCCTGCACCGCGTACTGGCACACGGGCGCCTTGGCCTCGCCGAAGGGAGGCCCGTTGAGCAGGAAGGCGCCGGGCACCGTGGCCTCCATGGTGGTGCCGCTAGAGGCCGGTGCCCCGCGCGCGGACGCCCATCGCCGGCGGCTCGGGGCTGCGCGGGCGGCCCGGCCGCCCCGTCAGGGCCACCCTGTCAGGGCCACCCCGTCAGGGCCACCCCGTCAGGGCCACCCCGCGCGGGCGGCACCGGCCCCAAGTGCCACCGGCGCCGGAGCCTCAACTTGGGCTTGGGCACTGGGGACACTTCTCTGATAAAGACGGGGCCCATTAGAATAGGCGGCCCCCATTGGCCGGCCGGCTGGCAGGCCGTGCTCCCATTGGCCGGGCCGTCACGGGCTGGCCCGCCATTGGCTGCGCTGCGGCGCCGGCCTGGGATTGGCCGCTGGCAGACAAATTGCCCTTTGAAAGCCGGCGGCGCTGGGGATGCCGTGGAGCGCGCGGGAGCGCGAGGGCGGATGGGACGGGAATGGGGCACCGGCGTGACACCCCATGGGACACAGTGACGCCCCATGGGACACAGTGACATCCCCATGGGACACAGTGACACCCCCATGGGACATAGTGACACCCCATGGGACATAGTGACACCCCATGGGACACAGTGACATCCCCATGGGACACAGTGATAGCCCCATGGGGCACACAGTGACATCCCCATGGGACACAGTGACACCCCATGGGACACAGTGATAGCCCATGGGACACAGTGATAGCCCCATGGGGCACACAGTGACATCCCTATGGGACACAGTGACATCCCAATGGGACATGCAGTGACAGCCCCATGGGACACAGTGACATCCCCAGGGGACACAGTGACACCCCCATGGGACATAGTGACACCCCATGGGACACAGTGATAGCCCCATGGGACACAGTGACAGCCCATGGGGGACACAGTGACCTCCCCATGGGGCACTGGCGTGACAGCCCCATGGGACACAGTGACAGCCCCAGGGGACACAGTGACAGCCCCATGGGACRTAGTGATAGCCCCATGGGACACAATGACATCCCAATAGGGGACACAGAGTGACATCCCTATGGGACACACAGTGCCAGCCCCATGGGACACACAGTGACATCCCCATGGGACACAGTGACAGCCCCATGGGGGACAATGAGTGACATCCCTATGGGACACACAGTGCCAGCCCCATGGGACACACAGTGACATCCCCATGGGACACAGTGACAGCCCCATGGGACACAGTGAGATCTCAACAGGGGACACAGAGTGACATCTCTATGGGACACACAGTGACATCCCTATGGGACACACAATATCATACCTATGGGACACACAGTGACATCGCTATGGGACACGCAGTGACATCCCCATGGGACACACAGTGCCAGCCCCATGGGACACACAATGTCATCCCTATGGGACACACAGTGACATCCCCATGGGACCCACAGTGTCATCCCTATGGGACACACAGCACTGGCCCCATGGCGGACAGTGACATCCCCATGGGACACACAGYACCAGCCCCTTGGGACAGTGTCATCCCTATGGGACATGCAGCACAATCCCCATGGACCACGCAGCGCCATCCCCATGGGACACACGTGTCATCCTCATGGGACACAAGTGCCATCCCCACGGGACATGCAGTGTTATCCCCATGGGACACTCAGTGCCACCCCCTTGTGGGGACACTGTCATACTCAGGGGTCACACAACGCTATCCCCATGGGACATGCAGCGTTATCCCCACGGGACACAAGTGCCACCGCCGTGGGGCACAGCCCGGTCCGCGGCTCCRTAGGGACCGGGAGCGTCATCCACACGCTGTGACACGGGGGACCCCCCTCCCGGGCGCCCTTCACCCCCCTCCAGCCCCCGAGAAGCAGAAGCGAGACGCGGGCGGTGTCATTTTCTTTATTAATTCATAGTCCGGTAGCTGGTGTACAGGGAAACGATCTATACATCYGGGGCTAAGACGGGGAGATCCAAAAGGCTCTTTCCATAACGATTAAAAAAAGGAACGGAAAAGGGAACTTGGAAAAACTCCTAGGAAGCTTCTAGTGCGCAGCCCGCGGTATTGCCTAGGCCAACGGGGGCTGGCGCCCGGGCGGCCCTACGAGCGGGGGGAGCGCGAAGCGGTGCCGCGGGCGGCGCATTCCCTGCGGCGCATTCCCTGCGGCGCATTCCCTGCGGCGCGCGGGGCGGCGGCGGCTCGGGCTGGGACGGGGTGGGGACGGATGGAGGGCTGGGACGGGGCGTGCAGTCGGCTTCGCGTCCTCCCGGCCCAACGCCTCGCCGGGCAGCTCCGCGGCCGCCGCACGGGGCTCCACGCGCCCGGCCCGGCTCCGGACGGAGCCGCCCGCCCGCTGCGCATCCCCGAGGGAGCTCTGCAGCAGCCCGAACGTGTGGGCAGCGCTGCCCGGCCCCGCTGCTGGACCCCTTGCAGGGGGACAAGGGACCCCGCGGAGGCCGCGCGTGGCACCGGCGCGGCCGCCTCCGTCCCCGAGCACCTCCAGCTTCACCCCGGCCGCGGCCCGACGGGGTGTTTGGGCGCACGAGCGTCCCGGGGCGGGGGGTTTGCATAGTATTTATTGGTTCGTATACACCAGGCTGCCCGCTGCGCGGGCTGCGCTTTCAACACAAGCGAGGAGCTCGGCGCTCCGGCCAGAGGCCTGCCCTGGGGAGGGGGACGGCGCCGCGGGCGCGGGGGGCCGGGGCCGCGGGCGCTGCTGCCCGCCGGCGCGTGCGGCGGCTCCGGCGGCGTCAAGGACTCATGTAGCTCATGCGGCGGCGGTCGGTCGGTCATGCGAGCAGGGCGGGGAGGTTGCCTCGGACGGAAATCATGCCATTAGCCTATGGGGACGTGTAGAGCCACCCCGCTGCCCTCCGCCGCGCCGCTCCCCGCTCCTCTCGGCAGGACGCGGCGCGGCGGCCGCTAGTGCTTCGGTGCCGAGGGGGGGTCCTGCGGAGGCACAGAGAGACGCGGCGTGAGCGGCGCCTSGCCGGGGGGGACCCCGATGGGGGAGCTCCGGGGGCTGCCCACGCGCGCGGAGCCGTCCCGGCCGCATCGCGGGGTGCTGGGCACGGGCAGCCCGCCTCGCTGCGCCCTCCCGTGCCGYCCCCGGAGCGGGGTGCAGCCCAGCGCCCCGCTGCACGTGAGGGGGACACTCCGTCCTGGGAGGGGGGTGGCAGCGGGGACGGTCCCTCCGTGCGCAGAGCCGGCGCGTGGAGCGGGCTGATGCCCGCGGGCGGGCAAGGGCGCGCGCGCCCTGGGGTGCAGAGCGGCAGGGAGAGCGCAGGTTACCTCCAAGGAGGCCAGTGCGGGGGGTCACTGCTTCCCCCTTTTGAGGCTGGCGCGTTTCACTACGTGAGCGCCCATCCTGCCCCCGGAGAGCTCCAGTTGCGGCACGCGGCCTCGCACCTCCTCCTGAGCGAGCCGCGGGGCCAGGAGGCGGCGCACAGACAGACGGACACCCGGACACACGGACGGACAGAGAGACAGGAGAGGACAGGAGAAGGAAAGGCAGAGTCAGGTGGCAGAAGACACTGAGCGAGAGGCGCGACAGGAGAGGAGGAAGGACAGGCGAGAGGACAGAGGGGCTGCGCGCCGCGCCGCACCTTGGCCCCCAGAGCGTCCCGATGGAGGCCGGCGTATTTCATGAAGTGGTCGGCCTCGGCCTCCAAGTCGCGCGTGTCCGGCAGGGAGGCCTCCAGCAGCAGCTCCTCGCGCTCCCGCGCGCCGTCCGCGTCGCCGGGGCCCAGGTGCCGCAGCACCTTGCGGATCACCTGCGGGAGCAGGAGCGGGAGCGGGAGTGGGAGTGGGACGGGGCGTCACGGTGCAGCGCCAGCACCCGCACCCTGTGTGGGTGCATCCTGTGCCCCCTGCATCCTGTACCCCAATCCTGCACGGTGCATCCTGCACCCCTCATCCTGCATCCTGTACCCCAATCCTGCATGGTGCATTCTGTGTCCCCTGTATCCTGCATCCTGCACCCCAATCCTGCACGGTGCATCCTGCATCCCGTATCCTGCATCCTGTACCCCAGTCTTGCATGGTGCATCCTGAACCCCTCATCTTGCATCCKGTACCCCAATTCTGCAAGGTGCATCCTGCACCCCCTGCATCCCACCCCCTGCATCCCGCATCCTGCACCCTAATTCTGCACAGTGCATCCTGCACCCCTCATCCCACATCCTGTACCTGCATGGTATATCCTGCACCCCCTGCATCCCACATTCTGCATCCTGTGCTCTGTACCCCAGTCCTGCATCCTGCACCTCACATCCCAGATCCTGCATTCCGCATCCTGTACCCCAAT